CACCTCGTTCCACTCCTGTCAGCAGAAATGACCACACCAGAGCCCACTCCTGTTAGCGAGAAGATCTCACCAGGTGCCAACAACCTGTCCAGCAGAAGACCACCCCGGGGTTGCAAACACCTGTCCCAGCACAGGCTCGGCAAAATTGGACAATAGATAAGATTGTAAAACGTTTTTCCTCCAGGTCTAATGAGTCTTGGATTTCAGCGGCGTAGCATTCCATATGGTAGGTCAGATTTCGGGCATAAAACAACATGAAAGCAATTGATCCCAACCTGCTCTTGTATCAATGGTTTTCATGATGTGAAGCCGACAAAATCTGCAGCAACAGCGTTATGCAATCATGTCAAATAAGGACCACAAATCTCCAACACCATATTGGAATCTATGCCACACAAGAAGGGCAAAAGGGGGCTCCCAACTTGGTACTCAGGAAGGTGTGGAGCTAAATAAAGTGGCTGGTGACGTTGGTAGGGTTACCAGCTTGGCTCCCCATTGGAGGGTGTGAAAGTATGCTGTGCGCCAGGACTGCCCTGTAATTGCTGCTACGAGAGGACCCCATGTAAGTCCCTGGATACCCGGATGCATATCTTTTTCAATGCAGTCATTGGCCCTACAACAGGTGGTGGGTCCCTGGGGGGTGTCAACCATGAACCTCTAAAATCCCAGTATCTTTCCCGCCATATTGTAAACGCTAATAAACTTTCACATAGAACCAATTCATTATACAGACGTCTAGATTGTGTATTTATTTATTAGCCATCAAGACATGCCACGAGAAGACATATTGGCCTAAATTTACTATGACAAAATTTAATTGTTGTTTGAAAAAAATTATTACGGGACACGTCTAATTAGGAAAAAGTCAAAAATATTATTTGTATTTTCCCAAAATAGGTCGGGTTCTATTTTTAATTTTCATGCAGCGCAAAAAAACAACAAGAGAATGCACAGGCGCAGGCGATCAAATACCCTACCGGGAAAAAAACCTCGAAGCGTTGCATGACCGCCATTACTAGTAAAAATAAAAAATTTTTAAAATAAATTAATTTACACGTATTGGGATTTTTTTTTTTAGCAAAAGACACTGTATTGGTGCCACCAGGGATGTCAGTGACACCAAGTCAGTTCCCCCCCCAGTGTCAAAATGCCAGCCGTAGTCGCACGGTCCCGCTATAAGTCGCTGATCGCCGCCATTACTGTAAATAAAAAAAAAATCCCCAGTATCTATACCGCCATTTGTAAACACTATAACTTTCATGTAAACCAATTAATTTACACGTATTGGGATTTTATTTTTGAACATGTCGCAGAATACATTTTGGCTTAAATTATGCGAAATTTGATTTTTAATTTTTTTTTTTTACTGGACATGTTTAATAGCAAAAAGTTAAAAATATAGTTTTTTTCTCAAAATTATCGGTCTTTTTTTTTTTCATAGCACAGAAAAAATTAAAAACTGCACAGTAAAAAAAAAAAAAAAAATCCCAATATATATACCGCCATTTGCAAACGCTATAACTTTCACGTAAACCAATTAATTTCCACGTATTGGGATTTTATTTTAGCAAAGACACGGAGCAGAATGCATTTTGGCCTAAATTTATGACAAAAATTTTTTTTTTTTTTTAATTTTTACTGGACACGTTTAATAGCAAAAAGTGTAAAAATATTGTTTTTTTTTCCCAAAATTGTTGGTCTTTTTTTTTTCATAGTGCAAAAAAAAAAAAAAAGAAATGCACAGGCGATCAAAAAGAAAGCTCTATTCGTGGGAAAATAAGGCCATAAATTTAGTTTGGGTGCAGCGTTGCATGACCGCCATTACTACTAAAAATAAAAAAATTCCAGTATCTATACCGCCATTTGTAGACGCTATAAATTTCACATAAACTGATTAATTTACACGTCTTGGGATTTTCTTTTAGCAAAAGACACTGTATTGGTGTCACTGGGGATGTCAGTGACACCAAATCAGTTCCCCCCCCAGTGTCAGAATGCCCGCCGCAGTCCCACGGTCCTGCTATATGTCACTGATCGCTGCCATTACTAGTACAAAAAATTAAAAATTCCAGTTTAAATACCGTCATTTGTAAACGCTGTAACTTTCACGTAAACAAATTAATTTACACGTATTGGGATTTTTTTTTTTTTTAGCAAAAGACACTGTATTGGTGTCACTGGGGATCTCACGTAAACCAATTAATTTACACCTATTCAGATTTTATTTTTGAACATGTCGCAGAATACATTTTGGCTTAAATTTATGACGAAATTTGATTTTTTTAATTTTTTTTTTACTGGACACATTTAATAGCAAAAATTCAAAAATATTGTTTTTTTTTTTTTTTGCAAAATTTGTTTTTTGTTTATAGCACGAAAAATAAAAAAATGCACAGGCGTTCTAATACCACCGAAAAAAAGCTCTATTTGTGGGAAAAAAAGGACGTACATTTCATTTGGGTGCGCGTTGCATGACTGCGCAATTGTAAGTAACGCAGCGCTGCAACGCAAAAAATGGTCTGGTCAGGAAGGGGGGGGGAAATCCTCTGGAGGGGTTAATAGACTTGACATGGTGACAGGGTCCACGCTATTTCAGCCTGATTTCGATGTAGCATTGGGGGAAGGTCAGGGGCGGACTGACCATTTGGAAACTCGGGCACTGCCCAAGGGCCCAGGGTCAGTAGGGGGCCCCATGAGATGCCCCTGGTACCTTTTTCATAGGCTTTTTTGAGTTTCCATGCATAATGGGGGGCCCCATGATCTCCTATTGCCCGGGGGCCCCATGAGATGTCAGTCCGCCCCTGGTGAAGGTATAGTAGGAGAAATGTATATAAATATATTGTCCTTACTCGACTCCTCGTAGTGAAATCTTCTGACCTGGATGAGAGGAGCTGACACTGATGTATATATGCAGAGCACACAGGCCCAGGAGCAACTCTGGCTTCAGTTCTGATCCCAGCCTCTCTCTTATCACATCATTACGGCTCTAAGAAAACATAACAATCAATGCATTAAGCTTCTTTTTTTTTTTTTTTACCGGTTTAATACATACCCTGTTTTAGACCAAGTGACATCATCACTGGGTCTATGTGCTTCTCTATGCAATGCAGACAGATCAGGGCTACTGGGAGGGGATTTTGTAAAATTTTTTTTACATAGCTTCCTGAAATCCTCACAGCACCTTGCCTAATGCAGGCCATAGACGGGCCGTTTATCGGCCGAATTGTCGACCGATAAACGAAAAAAATTAATTGAATTGTCGGCCGATAAACGAAAAAATCGGTCGGTGCCGATGCCGCCACCAATGTTCACGTACAGAATGGGACAAGAAACCAGTTTGACAGAGACGGGGGAGCGCACCATACAAGGTGACAGCAATACAAATACATTATGTTTTTATCTGGATACAAATGGATACATTTGTTGCAACCGCAAGACTTTTTCATATAAAATATAATAGCGGAAGAAGAACGGAGCCGCCGTTCAGTGACACCTGTACATTCTTCTTCTTTTTCTGCTTCTTCTATTTCTTCTTCATCTTTTTCTTCTATTTCATTTTCTTCTTCTATTTCTTCTTCTTCATCTTTTTCCTCTTCTTCGTTGTCTTATTCTTCTTCCTCTTCTATTTCTTCTTCTTTGTCTTCTGCTTCTTTTTCTTCTTCTTTTTTTTCTTCTTTTTCTTCTTCTGCTGCTTCTTCTTCTTTTTCTTCTACTTCTTTGTCTTCTGCTTCTTTTCTTCTATTTCTTCTTCCTCTTTTATTTCTTCTTCTTCTTTTTCTTCTTCTTCTTTGTCTTCTTCTTTTTCTTCTATTTCATCTTCTTCTTTTTCTTCTATTTCTTCTTCTGCTTCTTCTATTTCTTCTTCTTCTTTGTCTTCTTCTTCTTCCTCTTCTATTTCTTCTTTCTCTTCTTTGTCGTCTTCTTCTTCTTTGTCGTCTTCTTCCTCTTCTATTTCTTCTTCTTCTTTGTCTTCTTCTTCTTTGTCTTCTTCTTCTTCCTCTTCTATTTCTTCTTCTTCTTTGTCTACTTCTTCTTCTTTTTCTTTTCTTCTTCTTCTTCTTTGTCTTCTTCTTCTTCTTTTTCTCCTTCTTCTTCTTCTTCTTTGTCTTCTTCTTCTTCTTTTTCTCCTTCTTCTTTTTCTTCTTTGTCTTCTTCTGCTTCTTTTTCTTTGTCTTTTTCTGCTTCTTTTCTTCTATTTCTTCTTTTTCTTTTTCAACCTCTTTTTCTTCTATTTCTTCTTTTTCTTCTTCTTCTTTTTCTCCTTCTTTTTCTCCTTCTTCTTCTCCTTCTATTTCTCCTCCCTCTTCTATTTCTTCTTCTACTTCTTTTTCTTTTCTTCTTTTTCTATTTCTTCTTATTATTTTTCTTCTTCTTTTTCATTTTCTTCTTTTTATATTTCTGCTTCTTCTTCTTCTTTTTCTATTTCTTCTTTCTATTTCCTCTTCTTCTATTTCTTCTTCTTCTTCTTTTTCCTCTTCTTTTTCTTTTCTTCCTCTTCTTCTTTTTTTTTCTTCTTTTTCTTTTCTTCCACTACTTCTTTTACTGCTTCTTCTTTTTCTTGCAGGTCACGGCTCATGCACAGATTTTTTTATCGGTAAAACGATCAGCCAATTTGCCCATCATCGCCTGGAAAATAGGGCGATCGTCCAAATCGGCCGCGTATCTTCCAACATGACCAATAAAAAAAAAACTGTGCAAAAAAAAACGGCCTCACAATTAACCCACTAACAGTGCAAAAATCGGTCGAAAAATTGGCTGATTTTTGACCTATCTATGGCCAGCATTAGTGCCTCTCTCAAAATTCCTCAGTGGGAGGAGTTATGCAAATATCAAAATGCCTTGCTCGGTGACATTTAGGTGGCACTTCCTTCCTCCAGCGCCCTTTTCTGCCAGCAGTGGGTGCAGAACCCAGATGGCACATTCATAACTGCAAGGCAGGGCAGGGATGAAGGGACGTGCTGGGTACACTGGGGTAGAGAGGGAATATTTAAAGAACCACGTCACCATAACTGAGTGAAGCATTGTAAATCATTGCATATATGTTTGTATATTACCTGGATATACAGATACTCGAATGCAGCCGGATCGGAATGCAGAATATCAGCCGGGTCTTTAGGAAAAAAGCAGATTCGAAACAAGCATTTCATACCCTGATAGTGAGTTCGATGCACGACCTAAGAGGGGAGACGCATCATTACATTTCTATGGCAAGATGCTTTTCAGTATACACAGAACAATACATGTATTTAATAAACACCCATAGAAATGGGAAGTGTGGGGAAAAAAAATTAAAATGACGTTTTCTTTATTCATAGCATTAACACAGCAGTTTTTGCTTTTCCGACTCCCCCGAAACCATTTCATTACCTGTTGAACCCGCCAGTGGAACCATTATTTTTCCGCATCCTTTAACAGGGTGACAACACTATATAAATGAAAAGAGCTGCTGACAAGGTGGTAGCGCTGGTCCTCCAGTATCGGTCCAGGCCCGGACAATTTAGCAGTAGAATGGGTCTCCTTCATCCACAGGGAGTGGATGCCACAGTGCAATTCAGATCATCGTGGCTGCACCATGAGTAGATCCCCATACACTGCCTTTGCAGGTTTTGCCCCATCCGCTGCCTTTGCCTATGCATGACCCCCTCCTAACCCTTGCACTCATTACATACTTTTGACCTTTCACACTCCTGACCCCTGCACTCTATGCACTACTCACCTCTGACCTCTGCACTCTACCCACTCCTGACCACTGCACTCTATGCACTACTCACCTCTGACCTCTGCACTCTGTACATTACCCACTCCTGACCCCTGCACTCTATGCCCTACTCACCTCTGACCTCTGCACCCTGTACATTACCCACTCCTGACCACTGCACTCTATGCCCTACTCACCTCTGACCTCTGCACCCTGTACATTACCCACTCCTGACCACTGCACTCTATGCCCTACTCACCTCTGACCTCTGCACCCTGTACATTACCCAATCCTGACCCCTGCACTCGATATGTTATCTACTTCTGACCCCTATACTCTGTACCTTACCCACTCCTGACCACTGCACTCTATGCCCTACTCACCTCTGACCTCTGCACCCTGTACATTACCCACTCCTGACCCCTGCACTTGATACATTATCTACTTCTGACCTCTATACTCTGTGCATTACCCAATCCTGACCTCTGCACTTGATGCAGTACTCACCTCTGACCTCTGCACCCAGTACATTACCCAATCCTGACCCCTGCACTCGATACGTTATCTACTTCTGACCCCTATACTCTGTACATTACCCTGCAGTCTGTACATGACCCACTCCTGACCTCTACACTCTATGCATTACCCACTTCTGACCCCTGCACTCTGTACCATACCCCTGCGCTCTGTACATTACCGACTCCACTCCTGATTCCTGCACTATATGCATTCCTAACTTCTGACCTCTGCACATTACCCACTCCTGACCCCTGCACTCGATGTGTTATCAACTTCTGACCCCTGCACTCGATGTGTTATCAACTTCTGACCCCTGCACTCGATGCGTTATCAACTTCTGACCCCTGCACTCGATGCGTTATCAACTTCTGACCCCTGCACTCGATTCGTTATCAACTTCTGACCCCTGCACTCGATGTGTTATCAACTTCTGACCCCTGCACTCGATGCGTTATCAACTTCTGACCCCTGCACTCGATGCGTTATCTACTTTTGACCCCTGCACTCTGTACATTACCCCTGCACTCTGTACATTAGCCACTCCACCCCTGATTCGTGCACTATATGTGTTCCTAACTTCTAACCTCTGCACATTACCCACTCCTGACCCCTGCACTCGATGTGTTATCAACTTCTGACCCCTGCACTCGATGCGTTATCAACTTCTGACCCCTGCACTCGATGCGTTATCAACTTCTGACCCCTGCACTCGATGCGTTATCAACTTCTGACCCCTGCACTCGATGCGTTATCAACTTCTGACCCCTGCACTCGATGCGTTATCTACTTTTGACCCCTGCACTCTGTACATTACCCCTGCACTCTGTACATTAGCCACTCCACCCCTGATTCGTGCACTATATGTGTTCCTAACTTCTGACCTCTGCACTCTGCACATTAACCACTCCTTACCCCTGCACTCAATGCGTCATCTACTTCGGACTCCTGCACTCTATACATTACTCCTGCACTTCTGACTTCTGCACTCTGAAAATTACCCACTCCTTACCCCTGCACTTGATGTGTTATCTACTTCGGACCCCTGCACTCTGCACATTACCCACTCCTTACCCCTGCACTCGATGCGTTATCTACTTCGGACCCCTGCACTCTGTACATTACCCACTCCACCCCTGATTCCTGCACTATATGTGTTACTAACTTCTGACCTCTGCACTCTGCACATTACCCACTCCTTACCCCTGCACCTGATGTGTTATCTACTTCAGACCCCTGCACTCTGCACATTACCCACTCCACCCCTGATTCCTGCACTATATGCATTTCTAACTTCTGACCTCTGCAGTCTCTACATTAGCTACTCCTGATCCCTGATCTCTAGGCGTTATCCACTTCTGACTACTCTGCACATTACTCTGCACTCCGTACACAACCCACTCCTGAACCCTGCACTGTTGGCACAATTTTGCCACAACCAAATTTCTTCATGACGCACACTGCTTGCAGGCTAGGGAGAGGGGTGGTCTGGCTCAAGCCCTGGCCCTATCAGGTCGGTTGTATGGAGCCCCATGATTTCTAATTGCAGCCCTATAAATGAGTAAAACTGTAATTGCCATATCCATGCTAATTCACCCAATTTAAATGGTGGGATGCAATTCTCACAATGCATCAAAAACCACCAAAAAAGAAGAAAAAAGGAGAAACAGAAAACTCTAATCCAACAAAATAATATGAAAAAAAGAGTCAGTTCCCTAGCACAGCCTCCTCCCTCCATGCCATAGCCCTCTCCTCTTCTGGGAGCGTGTCAGGACACCACCCGGAACACAGGCCTGTGGGCCCCAATACACAGGCCAGGCACTTCCATCAATATCCTACATTGGAACATGGGGTTGTGTGAAAAAACACGTTGGTACACGAAACTGCCACCAAATGCCCTATTTAAAGGAAGAAGCAGTGAGAGAAGATTGCTGGATGATCTTCAACTTGTCCTTCATCCTCCCATGTATCCTGTGTTTATCCTGACTTTTTGTTAATGACCCAGCTTGCCTCTGGACCCTTCCTGCTGCTTGACCTTGGGTCATGACCCTTGCTAGTTTAAGGACTCTGCTTCTCCTGGTCTACTATGTATAACTCTGGCTCTGGCTCCTCACCACACTGTCATCGTTCGTCCTACTGATCATCTGTGTTTGACCTTGGGCTGAACACTGATCTCCAACAAGTCTCTCCTTTTCCTTCTTGCTGGTCTGACTCTACACCACCATCACCTACTGCAGGTAATGGCACTCCACCAGCTACCGGGCCTGACCTGTTCCTGCCGACATCTTCGCCCACCCAGCCAGACACCTCATGAAGCCACCACCAGCGAACTGGTCTATCGGCACCTGTGCTTTTTACTCCCCGTCAACACTCCTAGGGGTGCTTGGACCATAGCAACAAGGGAAGCCTTCTCATCACTTCGACCTCCAGCCAGCTATGACATAGTGTCTAATTACTGTCTGTGCTGGCCCAATTCAAATGCCCCTCCTCAGCATGTCCATGATCCTTCTTCCTGTATGTCGTATGTTTATCCTACCTTTTGCTATTGACTCAGCTCACCTCCAGACCTTCCTGCTGCATGACCTCTAGTTGTGGCCCTGGCTAGTTTAAGAACTCTGCTTCTCCTGGTCTACTGTGTATGACCCTGGCTCTGGCTCCTCACCACACTGTCATCTTTCGTCCTACTGATCATCTGCGTTTGACCTTGGGCTGAACACTGATCTCCAACAAGTCTCTCCTTTTCCTTCTTGTTGGTCTGACTACACCACCATCACCTACTGCAGGTAATGGCACTCCACCAGCTACCGGGCCTGACATGTTCCTGCCGACATCTTCGCCCACCCAGCCAGACACCTCATGAAGCCACCACCAGCAAACTGGTCTATCGCCACCCGTGCTTTTTACTCCCTGTCAACACTCCTAGGGGTGCTTGGACCATAGCCACAAGGGAAGCCTTCTCAGCACTTCGACCTCCAGCTAGCTATGACATAGTGTCTAATTACTGTCTGTGCTGGCCCAATTCCAATGCCCCTCCTCAGCATGTCCATGATCCTTCTTCCTGTATATCCTGTGTTTATCCTAACTTTTGCTATTGACTCAGCTCACCTCCAGATCTTCCTGCTGCATGACCTCTAGTTGTGGCCCTGGCTAGTTTAAGAACTCTGCTTCTCCTGGTCTACTGTGTATGACCCTGGCTCGGCTTCTGACTACGCTCATTTCTTTATCCTTGTGATCACTGTGCATGACTCTGGCTCTGGCTCCTGACCATGCTGTCATCACTCATCCTTCTGATCATTTGTGTTTGACCTTGACCTAGACCATGACCTCCACTACGTCTTTCCCATTCCTCTTTGCTAGTCTGACCCTGTACCATCATCACTTACTGTGGGCAATATCACTCCGCCAACTACCGGGCCTGACCTGTTCCTGCTGACATCTTCACCCACCTTTCTGAGAACTACCAAGCCAGACACCTCTTGAAGCCACCACCAGCGAACCGTTCTATCAGCACTCCCTGTCATCACTCCTAGGGGTGCTTGAACCATAGCCACAAGGGAAGCCCTCTCATCACTTTGTCCTCCAGCCAGCTATGACATAGTGTCTAATTACTGTCTGTGCTGTCCCAGTTCCTAACCCCCACCTCAGCTTGTCCATGATCCTTCTTCCCATATATCCTATGTTTATCCTTTTTTTATTGCCTCAGCTCACCTCTAGACCTTCCTGCTGCTTGACCTCTGGTAGTGACCCTGGCATGAACTCTGCTTCTCCTGATCTACCATGCATGGCCCTGACTAGTTTTAGGACTTTGCTTCTGATTTACTGATTGTGACCCTGGCTCGGGTCCTGACCAGGGGCGGACTGACCATTTGGAAACTCTGGCACTGCCCGAGGGCCCGGGGTCAGTAGGGGGCCCCATGAGATGCTCCTGGTACCTTTTTCATAGGCTTTTTTGAGTTTGGG